GAGGAACCAAGTGACACATAAAGATGGCAGTTTAACAAGATTATATTTTATCGAAATTATGATATTCACCAAAAATTCCCAAGTCACCTACACTGGCAAAATGGTAAATAATTTAGACATGGAAAATACGTCAGAGATATCATACATTATCTTTGACCCCGGCCTCTCACAGCTGGTGACCCCTTGTCACCCACCTGGCTGTGATGACAACCTGTCACCCATCTGGCTGTGATGACCCTCTGTCACCCATCTGGCTGTGATGACCCCCCTGTCACCCACCTGGCTGTGATGACCCCCTGTCACCCACCTGGCTGTGATGACCCCCCGTCACCCACCTGGCTGTGATGACCCCCCTGTCACCCATCTGGCTGTGATGACCCTCTGTCACCCACCTGGCTGTGATGACCCCCCTGTCACCCACCTGGCTGTGATGACCCCCTGGCTCCCCCTGTCACCCACCTGGCTGTGATGACCCCCCGTCACCCACCTGGCTGTGATGACCCCCCTGTCACCCACCTGGCTGTGATGACCCCCCTGTCACCCACCTGGCTATGATGACCCCCTGTCACCTGGCTGTGATGACCCCCTGTCACCCACCTGGCTGTGATGACCCCCTGTCACCCACCTGGCTGTGATGACCCCCTGTCACCCACCTGGCTATGATGACCCCCTGTCACCCACCTGGCTGTGATGACCCCCTGTCACCCACCTGGCTATGATGACCCCCTGTCACCCACCTGGCTGTGATGACCCCTGTCACCCACCCACCTGGCTGTGATGACCCCCACCCACCTGTCACCCACCTGGCTGTGATGACCCCCTGTCACCCACCTGGCTGTGATGACCCCCCGTCACCCACCTGGCTGTGATGACCCCCCGTCACCCACCTGGCTGTGATGACCCCCCGTCACCCACCTGGCTGTGATGACCCCCCGTCACCCACCTGGCTGTGATGACCCCCTGTCACCCCCTGGCTGTCCCCCTGTCACCCACCTGGCTGTGATGACCCCCTGTCACCCACCTGGCTGTGATGACCCCCTGTCACCCACCTGGCTATGATGACCCCCTGTCACCCACCTGGCTGTGATGACCCCCTGTCACCCACCTGGCTGTGATGACCCCCTGTCACCCACCTGGCTGTGATGACCCCCTGTCACCCACCTGGCTGTGATGACCCCCTGTCACCCACCTGGCTGTGATGACCCCCCGTCACCCACCTGGCTGTGATGACCCCCCGTCACCCACCTGGCTGTGATGACCCCCCGTCACCCACCTGGCTGTGATGACCCCCCTGTCACCCATCTGGCTGTGATGACCCCCCGTCACCCACCTGGCTGTGATGACCCCCCGTCACCCACCTGGCTGTGATGACCCCCTGTCACCCACCTGGCTGTGATGACCCCCTGTCACCCACCTGGCTGTGATGACCCCCTGTCACCCACCTGGCTATGATGACCCCCTGTCACCCACCTGGCTGTGATGACCCCCCCTGTCACCCACCTGGCTGTGATGACCCCCTGTCACCCACCTGGCTGTGATGACCCCCTGTCACCCACCTGGCTATGATGACCCCCTGTCACCCACCTGGCTGTGATGACCCCCCGTCACCCACCTGGCTGTGATGACCCCCCCCGTCACCCACCTGGCTGTGATGACCCCCCGTCACCCACCTGGCTGTGATGACCCCCCTGTCACCCATCTGGCTGTGATGACCCCCCGTCACCCACCTGGCTGTGATGACCCCCCGTCACCCACCTGGCTGTGATGACCCCCCGTCACCCACCTGGCTGTGATGACCCCCTGTCACCCACCTGGCTGTGATGACCCCCTGTCACCCACCTGGCTGTGATGACCCCCTGTCACCCACCTGGCTGTGATGACCCCCCGTCACCCACCTGGCTGTGATGACCCCCCCGTCACCCACCTGGCTGTGATGACCCCCCGTCACCCACCTGGCTGTGATGACCCCCCTGTCACCCACCTGGCTGTGATGACCCCCCGTCACCCACCTGGCTGTGATGACCCCCCGTCACCCACCTGGCTGTGATGACCCCCTGTCACCCACCTGGCTGTGATGACCCCCTGTCACCCACCTGGCTGTGATGACCCCCTGTCACCCACCTGGCTATGATGACCCCCTGTCACCCACCTGGCTGTGATGACCCCCCCTGTCACCCACCTGGCTGTGATGACCCCCCTGTCACCCACCTGGCTGTGATGACCCCCTGTCACCCACCTGGCTATGATGACCCCCTGTCACCCACCTGGCTGTGATGACCCCCCGTCACCCACCTGGCTGTGATGACCCCCCCCCCGTCACCCACCTGGCTGTGATGACCCCCGTCACCCACCTGGCTGTGATGACCCCCCTGTCACCCACCTGGCTGTGATGACCCCCCGTCACCCACCTGGCTGTGATGACCCCCCGTCACCCACCTGGCTGTGATGACCCCCTGTCACCCACCTGGCTGTGATGACCCCCTGTCACCCACCTGGCTGTGATGACCCCCCGTCACCCACCTGGCTGTGATGACCCCCCGTCACCCACCTGGCTGTGATGACCCCCCTGTCACCCACCTGGCTGTGATGACCCCCCCTGTCACCCACCTGGCTGTGATGACCCCCTGTCACCCACCTGGCTGTGATGACCCCCTGTCACCCACCTGGCTGTGATGACCCCCTGTCACCCACCTGGCTGTGATGACCCCCCGTCACCCACCTGGCTGTGATGACCCCCTGTCACCCACCTGGCTGTGATGACCCCCCGTCACCCACCTGGCTGTGATGACCCCCCTGTCACCCCCATACTCGGATATATTTTCGCCCAAAACTGCCACAGCTGATATCAGCTTGTGGGTGTTAATTTGTTGGGAACTATAAGAGGATATGGCATGTAGGGCGGTCTGGTTAACCTCGTGCATCACACTCGGCATTCTAAGAATCTTTTAATTAAAGCTGTTTGACAAGTGATCTCGTAGACTGACCCCCAGACTGATCTCGTAACTAACGGAGGGCGAGGTCAACCACCTGACCCCTACATTTCAAGGAGGGGAGAAGAATTATGCAAGGGTGAGAGTGAGAGTGAGAGAGAGAGAGAGAGAGAGAGAGAGAGAGAGAGAGAGAGAGAGAGAGAGAGAGAGAGAGAGAGAGAGAGAGAGAGAGAGAGAGAGAGAGAGAGTGAGAGTGAGAGAGAGAGAGAGAGAGAGAGAGAGAGAGAATTTCCCTTGTTACATAGTGGTCCTACCAATGTGTCATCACAAATTAGTGTATTCAACATCCACACTAGGCCTAGTATGCAACATGCAACAGTAACCCATTGAAACACAAGTCCTGATGTACTTATCAAGGTCAAGAAAACACAGATGAAATTTAAATGATATAAGATATATTAGACGGAGGAAGGGAAATGACAACAGAAAACGTTTTTGCCGAGGTTCGAGCCTACACTACGCCAGACCTCACAACATGTGACCTCTCAATGTTATATAGGCTATGTAACTTGTGTTGTACTAGTTACAGAGTTCACAGTGTTAACTCTATCACGGTGTTAAGTTACATCACGGTTAGTGATGTAAGGTGATGTAGTTCACGGTAGGGTCCATGGCCATGAGATAAGCCAGAAAGTCATACAAGCAGTGCATCTCTGAGAGTAACAAAATAATCTTTATTCTTTAATTGTTTATTTATATTCTCAAGAGTTCTTATATTCGAACAAGTCCTTAGCCCTATGTTCCCTGGAATACGACCCGTCAAGTCGTTTAACAACCAGGTACCCATTTCACTATTGGGTAAACAGAGGCTATATACAGTTAAGGATAGACGCCCAGTAAATCCTCCCCGGCCAGGATACGAACCCAGAACAAACCGCTCGCGAAACGCCAGACGAGTGTCTTACCACTACACCACGGGGACTGGTAATTCTGGAGAAAATACACGGACTCCGCATTATTTCCAAGTCAATGACAGTAAAGAAATGCATGCGGACAGTTGTGGTGACAAGCTTCTCATAATTTGCCACAACGGGACGTCACATCTCAACAAATATTGTAATGTCTAACCTTAGAGCGCACGTGAACAGTATATATATGAGGAGAAGACTCGTACTTCAACAAGAGTGTGTTGAGGTTCCGCCCTCCGCTGCCTGCCTGGCTCTTGAGTAATACAAGTTATATGTTCTTATTAACTCGCTCCTTCAGTAACCGACACCTCTACTCTGTGGGTTTATTAAAGACGCCGAGTGTCTTGCAGAGACGGGTGTCGCTCCCCCGTAAGCGTGGAGCAATTACGGCCTTATGGACTGGGACAAGTGACCTGTTGGAAGAGATGTGGGATATATATATAATATATATATATGGATATATATATATATATATATGGATATATATATATATATATATATATATATATATATATATATATATATATATATATATATATATATATATATATATGTTATACAGTAACGGAGAATAATGGTAATGTATTATCAGATAATTTATCATTATCTCCCTGTCAACACTGGTCATTGTCGCCCTGTCAACACTGGTCATTATCTCTCCTGTCAACACTGGTCATTATCTCTCCTGTCAACACTGGTCATTATCTCCCTGTCAACACTGGTCATTATCTCCCTGTCAACACTGGTCATTATCTCTCCTGTCAACACTGGTCATTATCTCTCCTGTCAACACTGGTCATTATCTCTCCTGTCAACACTGGTCATTATCTCTCCTGTCAACACTGGTCATTATCTCCCTGTCAACACTGGTCATTATCTCCCTGTCAACACTGGTCATTATCTCTCCTGTCAACACTGGTCATTATCTCCCTGTCAACACTGGTCATTATCTCCCTGTCAACACTGGTCATTATCTCCCTGTCAACACTGGTCATTATCTCCCTGTCAACACTGGTCATTATCTCCCTGACAAGCGCGTTCACCATCTCCCTGACAGCAATGTTCACCATCCCCCTGACAACAGTGTTCACTATCTCGACAGTGGTGCTGGAGAGCGTGGTGAACGGGGAGGCGGCGACGCAGAGGGTGCGGGCGCCGCCGGTCAGGCCCCGCGCCGTGGTGCGCTCGGTGGTGGTGGAGGTGAACCAGGAGTCCGCGCTGGCTACCGTCTACGTCAACTGTCGTCTCATGGGTTCTGTCAACCTGCCCAAGGTGCCCAGGGACATGGCTGCGAACGACCACGACCTTCGGGTGGTAAGTATATACCACCTTACATATATACCAAAGTATATATGTAAGTGTTGCTCTTATGTTTATTGCTCTTCGCTGTGACCTTTCAAAGGTGTTTAACACCCAACAGAACAAAGAAGAGAGTTCAAATATCTGGGAAAGATTCGAGACGAGAGACTTCACGGAAGAGAGAGAATTCCTCAACCCGTTCTCGCACTTGTTTATAGTCAGTATCTTGCTTATGAATAAGTGCATATGTGACATACTAATTCTCGCACTATAAGACATACGTTCTCGCACTTGTTTATAGTCAATATCTTGCTTATGAATAAGTGCATATGTGACATACTAATTTATTGTGAATATTTGAGTTTACCTTGAAAAGCTGAATAGAAAACCACAACCTAACCTAAACTTCTTGGTATGTTAACCCAACCAACCCAATCATTCGCATAGGAGACTTCCATAGCTTTCAATGTTATAGTTATGATAGTATGTTAGCATCTAAGTTCTAGTTCTTCTAGAACTTATAGATGCTGACAATCTAGTTAGATTGTCTAATAATCTAGTTAAGATCTAAGTTTTTTCTAATAAATGGTGAGTCATTAGGAACCTTCCTTAAAGAACACCCATAAACAATATTAAATTCGTATATGACTGTACTTTTTATCATTTATTTAATTTACAATTTTTTTAAGTAAATTATTGATTCCCCAGAAAAAGTGATATCATGATACGTAATCATTATAACTATATAATGTATTGCAAAATTTGCAACGGCATTTACCGCACTAATGTTCAATACACGATAAATTAAATTTATACAAATAATTGTTATCGATATTCATGGATACATTACATAGACAAAAAGGATAACTGAAATATCATATCTCACACACACACACACACACGCTAATCCCAGAACTAAGAGGCATGAGTTACGAGGAAAGGCTGCGTGAAATGTACCTCACGACACTGGAAGACAGAAGAGTAAGAGGAGACATGATCACTACCTCCAAAATCTGTTCGATCAAATCGACCAAATCATTATGTAAGGGAAACTACATTATCATGCAAGAGAAGCCAAATAATGTAATAGAAGTCACATCATCATGCAAGAAAATCCACGTCTTTATGCAAGAGAAACCAAATAATGTAAGAGAAGTCAAATTATCATGCAAGAGAAACCAACTAACGCAAGAGAAGCCAAATTATCCCGCAAGAGAATCCACATTATCGTGTAAGAGAAGCCTCGTCAAGAAAGAGAAGCCACATCATCAAGGAACGCAGAGCCACATCATGATGCCAGCGGGATAAATAATAAACACATATATGAAAGAGATATGACAGGTAACTAATATGTGAGCATTCCGTCCTGGGTGATGGGGCGCGGGTGGAGTTTGAGAGAAGACATGGTACAGTATACGTCAAAATGCGACGTTCTATTAGGAGGCCAGCTGGAGTGCCCGACCCTGGCAAACAGCTCCGATAACTACAATATCGTGTAAGGTTTTTATTATATCATACGAGAGACAAGTCAAGAGGACGTAATTCATGAGTAATCTCGACAGTCCGGCTCATAGGGCCCAGCCTTCGTCCCGCCCACTACAGCGCACGACAAAAACTCGGCCGCCCACAACCTACACTAACGAGGTATCGGCATTCACTGCCTGTCTGAACGTCCCATTCAGCAGCCCGATACACAGCCTCCGTCTGCGTATTGCGTTAAGGTTGTATGTTGTGAGAGTGATGGGGGGGGTGTTGTGAGTGATGGGGCTGGGGGTGTTGTGAGTGATCCGGGATACTGTGTTGTGAGGGAGAGTAATGCGGGGTAGTGTGTTGTGAGGGTGATACAGAGTGGTGTGTTGTGAGTGATGCAGTGTAGAGTGTGTTGTGAGTGATGCAGTGTAGAGTGTGTTGTGAGTGATGCAGTGTAGAGTGTGTTGTGAGTGATGCAGTGTAGAGTGTGTTGTGAGTGATGCAGTGTAGAGTGTGTTGTGAGTGATGCAGTGTAGAGTGTGTTGTGAGTGATGCAGTGTAGAGTGTGTTGTGAGTGATGCAGTGTAGAGTGTGTTGTGAGAGGAGCTAGAAAGAGTGACGCGGGTAGTGTGTTTTGAGAGGAGTGAGGGAGAGAGTGATGCGGGTAGTGTGTTGTGAGAGGAGTGAGGGAGAGTGTTTGTGACCGAGGGAGAGAGTGACGGAGGTTGACCCACTGAACACAGCTGGTGAGGAAGGAAGCAAGGATGGCCAGGACCTGCTACGGTCATTATGGCTTCCACTAGCCACCTCTCCCCTCTCACCCGACGCTTACCCGCTCTACAACCCCTTCCCACAACTCCCCCCTCACCTGCTGACTATTCCCCTTCCCATAAGTCCCCCTCACCTTCACATACCTAGTACTCCCGCTCCCATAACTCCTCTCAGCTTCATCTGTCAGCAAGCTGATTGGCCTACATGAAGAGTATTGACGAAAGATCAAAATCCAACTCCAGAAGTACGACGAGAAACCTAATGAATATAAGACATTGTATTAACTGATCAGAGGATGGAATGGCGTGACTCTGGAGCTAATGCTTCACCCAACAAGCATATATAGGAGAGTCCTAAGGAGATCAATTGCCTGTAGATGACAGAAGCTAGCAAAATATTGAGTGTTAGGACCTTGGCTATGTTTGTCAGGTTAGCTACATCGTATGTTAGATTAGGTTATGGTCAGACCAGGAAGCGATGTCAGGCTACATCAGGCAAGGTTAAACATCGGTTATTATAGGTTAAATCGCCAAGATCACGGTACGCTAGAATTTGGCGTTAGGTTAGGAGAGCCGTGGACATTCTATATTTTGAGAATGCTAGATTAGGCTTCGCTAGATTTGGTCGAATAAAACCGGGTGAAGTCTAGGTTAGATTAATATAAGTTAAAATAGTTTAATCTAGGCAAATCTGTGTTCGATTACTCAGTTAAAAGAATGTTAGGTTAGGTTTAATTTGGTCGAACAAATTACCTGTTTACTGCTAGTTGAACAGCTGGCTAATTCTCCAACCCGTCCTCCTAATAGAATGTCGCATTTTGACATATACTCTACCTAAGACCCAAAACTGTCGTACTAGACAATGGTAGTGGCTTGCGTTACGTACTGTCCTTTGGTAGGTTAGGAGACAACACTTTAAATTAACCGTTTTCTTGACGTTGGGAAACCTTAGGAGGACGGACTGCAAATCTACAAGGTGTTGTTGAAGTTCTTAGTGTATTATTACCCTCAGACTGCTCATAGGCATACCAAGGTTATAATAAACTCATTTGAAGGCAGATTCTTTGGCTAACTAATCAGTTCTATCATACATTCGGAGGCCAACATGAGATGGAATCCACATGAAAGGGACTCTTGTTTCCATCAGTGATTTGTGTCTAGCTTCAGACAGGAGCATGTTACAATTATGTCTTAAGAGTTGGGCGTAATTAAGGATGATAAAGAATCACTTACAATTAATGTATTAAGGGTGGAGACTTGTATACATTTCAGTGCAAAAAGCAAGACAAATAGTTCGGTGTGAAGGGTAAAGGTCCAGTTGTTTATACAGACTCCCCACTCAAAATATAACCATCACCCATTGTCAAGACAATTGCACTTCCAGCTGCACCCGTGGGGCGGTGTAGGGAACCATCAGTGTATATGATTTGAGAGAGAGAAAGCTCTGTGGACAGAATATTTATATGACTTAAGACGTTGAGCTTTGCCTCAAGACGAAGCTTGGGCTGATCTTTAATTTGTTTCTTGGGTGGAAAGGGAGAGATTAAAATTGGAAAGGGGGTAATCACCCACGGTGCAGGTAAGTAATGATGACGTCTTTCAGGGTACAAATTATAAATCTGATACATTCTGAGTGCAGTTCCAGTTTTAATTATCCATTTTGAACAACGTTGACCTTCAATAAAGAATTTCTGGAACTTCTATGTAAAGGTTAGGATGAGCTAGCCTAAGCATTTTTATACCAATTTGACAGTTAATTTCAATAACACGACCAATAACGCTCACAATATTAAATTCCTTTCTCATATTAAGTATCTTTGTATTTAATATATATGCCCTCGAGAGCATACATATTAAATACATTGAGGATCGAGTTACCCACATAGATCCTCCCTCCATGATATTGTTGCCACTCTGCTTGTTTTTCTGAAAGAACATGACGGGGAGGGACTTTTTTGAAGTACAGAATGCAAGAGTTACTAGATTTGAGGATATAAGCAACAAATAGGGGCAGTTTTGGGGGTGAGGCTCTTGTGAGGGGTGCACTCCTAGAGACAATATCAGTGTGTGCAGTTTTTACTTTGTGATGTAAGTCAGATTTTTTTTATGGATGCAATGTTCCAGCTAAGGATGCACAGCTTAGTTATTTTGCATTTAAAATATACATTATATAGATTGATATTTATAACAGTTTTGGTAGTTAATTTGCGTGGAGGGGACTTTTCAGTATTTAGTACGTTGCCGACCATAAGGTACAAAAAGAGATGTATTAGTTGAGAGGACGGGTTCCCCCACGTAATTCCTCCAAACACCATCTGGGATGTCTGTATCACTTCAACATTCCTTCTCCACACGGGCCATTCTTTCCCTGCGGAACTAATCTCTTACATGACGCAGGCGACTGCGTCGTAGCCACGTTCTGCAGCCACGGCATAGCTGTGTAAGCCTTCCCCCTCCTGGTTGCCCCCTTCCCCTTCCCGGTATCCGGCTAACCTTCTCAGGTATCCACATAAACGTCCCAAGTGCTATAGCAGAAGACGAGGCGATGCCTTAGTTTGAGCGTTGCGCAAGGTGTTTTAAACCCATCACCCGGACATCCCGCCCCCTCTCTCTCCCGCCTCTTCCTCGACTCTATATCCATACTTCTTTTCCTTCGCATCCTCCTACATTCCGTCCCAGTCTCCCCCTCCTTCACTCCTCTCACCCTGGCCTCATAAACCAGAGGGCATCCTCCCAGTGAGGCTTCTCAAGTGTAAATGTGTCGTGATTAATGTC